GGAGGAGGAGGAGGAGGAGGAGGGAGGAACCCACAAAAGGAACATGTTTTGGACATCCGCCAAACAATGTTTTTTTGTAACCCACCACAAAGGGAATCCATGTGGGGAGCCGGCGCGACAAGGAGTTGATTGGGTCATCTGGAGCAGAGGGTGTATTTTTTATCGTATGTTCCTCTCCCCGCCTTGGGAGGCTGAGTTGTTTCCTATTTCTTCCTGTGCAGGGCACGCTTCTGATTAAATCGATCGTGCTTTTTCATGCTTTCCAGTCTCCTGTTGGGGCGGGGGGCGGGCGCCGCGGGACGAAAGGACAAGTAGACATAACAGTTGAACATGTAAAACAGTTGCCCTGCACAGGGAAAATGGGACAACAACTTCAGCCTCCCAAGGAGGATGAGGAAACACAGGGAAATAACCCAGAGGAGGCGAGGGGGGGAGGAGGAGGAGGAGGAGGAGGAGGAGGAGGAGGAGGGAGGAGGAGGAGGAGGGAGGAGGAGGAGGAGGAGGAGGAGGAGGAGGAGGCGGAGGAGGAGGAGGAGGAGGAGGAGGAGGAGGAGGAGAGGAGGAGGGGGAGGGGGAGGGGGAGGTGAGGAGGAGGAGGAGGAGCAGGAGGAGGAGGGGGAGGGGGAGGGGGAGGAGGAGAGAGAGAGAGAGAGAGAGAGAGAGAGAGGAGCGAGGGGGAGGAGGAGGAGGAGGAGGAGGAGGAGGAGAAGAAGAAGGAGGCGACAGAGAAAAGGGAGAGAAAGAGAGAGAGAGAGATACAACATAAGAATAAGAGAGACGAGAAGAGAAGGAACAGCAGAGAAAGTGTGACGTATAATCATTTTGGGGGGTGGGTGATCATCTACGACCATACGTCGTAACTTCTATACAGACTAACTTCTATACAGACGTCCATACATACATATACTTTTGCGCAGATAGGTGTGTGCACGTATATGTTATATACACACTTACACACATACATCTGTTCATATTATATATATATATGATTGGAGATCTTTCCAGTACACTATGTTCAATTACTTTAACTATTATAATAAAAAAATCATCTACGTAGTTTAAATAAATAAATGAAATAAGTTATACTGTTTTCAATTTATTTAGCTTATTTAATCTATTGAATTTGTTTAACTTATTTAATTTATTTGTTCGGCCTCCTTGGCGGAGATCCGGGCGGACCTCAGATCAGCCGAACTATTTTTATGTATTTCCTTGATGCGTTTCAAAACATAAATAAACTAAGAAATTCAATAATAGTTCGGGCCCTGGCGATCGCCAGAATATCGCCAGATAGGCTGGGAAACCAATTCAACACATTGAATAAATCAAATAAATCAAGTAAATTGAATAAGTTAAATATATAGACTTATTAAGTTTATTTAATTTATTCAATTTATTTACATGTGCGAATTAAATAAATTGAATCAGTTATGTTTATCTAATTTGTTTAATTTACTTCACTTATTTAATTTATGTTTCGGAGTCCCTGGCGGAGATTCTGGCGGACCTCAGACCAGCCGAATTAATTTAATGTTTTTTTTTTTTTTTATATATAAAAAAAAAAAAAAAAAAAAAAAAAAAAAAAAACGAATTAAATGAAGAAATTAAATACATAAAGTAATAGCTCGGGCCCTGGCGATCGCCAGAATCTCTGCCAGATAGGCGGCGAAATAAATGAAATAAATTAAATAAGTGGAACCAATTCTTTTTATGTAATGTATTAAATTTATTTAATGTTTAAATGTATTGTTGCGGAGTCCCTGGCGGAGATTCTGGCGGACGTCAGACCAGCCGAATTAATTTAATGTATTTATTTGTTTGGTTTTAATAAATTAAAAGAATTGAGTAAATTAAGTAAGTTAAGTAATAGTTCAGGCCCTGGCGCTCGCCAGCATGTGAAAATATGACATATGGTTTATTCGTTCATTTTTTCCCGTGGTTTTCTCCCGCCAAGGCCGGAGGAAAAATCATTCGTAAGTGGTGAGATAATACCGCGCCGTTTTATGCGTTTTTCTACTCCCTCGGAGTTTACTGGTCGACTTTCAAGTGTGCGAGGGTGCCTTTCGAGAGCTTTAAGGTCAAAATCTTATTGTCCAGATTCCTATCCAGAATCGCACGTCAAATGGCATCCAGAATCATACGCACAACATCTCTCTGAGTCCTTCACAGGGTCCCATTGCGTCTTAGGGAGATTCCCAATAGAGCTCCCCTATGGCCTTCATTAGGCCACGTGAACTCTACAGTGCTTTTTCTGTGAGGCTGGGCACTTCCGAGGCTAGAGTTGAAAGGATGTCTCAGGCAGAGGTGGCCGGACCACAGTGGGACAGGGCATCGAGAGAGCCTTTGCGGCTCCTCGAGTCGTCTGCGTCGCAGGGCAAAGCAAACCCCTCGAGCCGAGAGGGATCTGAGCAGGCTGTCCCGCACGGGCTCCCGCGTGCCAGTCCACACAAACGTCCCCTGGATTTCGTGCGAGTTCGGTCTCACGGCCTTCGATCCTGTGCGCGCACCTCGTCGTGCTCTCGCGCCTCGGATGCTTCCTCCCCGCGAGGAGAAAGGGGATGAGGGGGACGAGGAGGGGGGGGGGGGAGCACGAAGAGGAGGAGGACGATGAGGACGAGGAGGAGCAGCAGGATCACGAGGAGGAGGAGGAGGAGGACGACGACGGCGACGACGAGGACGACGAGCCTCTTGAGACCGAGGTCCAGCTGGAGTTTGTTCTTCACATCCTCAGTGGAGTTTTGTTTTCCTAGAACACCCTCTCCTTCTCCTTCTCCTCCTTATCCCGCTTCCTTCCCCTATACCATACCTACCATACCATATCATACCTACCATACGATACATCACATACCATATCACACCAGATCTACCATACCATACCATACCTACCATACCATACCATACCTACCATACCATATCACACCACTCGTACCATGCCATACCATAATATTTACCAGGTTTCGTAACCCTCCCACCCTTCCTCGGTGGCCCCGCCTGAGCGAGGAGAGCGTGCGAATACAGCACTATTTATTAGATTTCGTGCTCCTCCCACCCCTCCAGGGAGGCACCGCTTGAGCGAGGAGGGTGTACGCGTACCATACTATTTATCAGGTGTCGCACCCATCCCTCTCCTTCTGGAGGCCCCGCCTGAGCGAGGAAGGTATACGAATACCATACCATTCATCAGGTTTCGTGTCCCCTCCCACCCCTTCCAGGGAGGCCCCGCCTGAGCGAAGAATACAGCTGCAGCTGTATCTCCCTCGAGATATCACCCTTTTGGCATGGCTCGGCATTGCCGGCCTGTCATTATACTTCTTGCGTGGCTCGGCATTGTCGGCCTGTCATTCTACCCCTTGCGTGGCTCGGCATTGCCGGCCTGCTACTTCCATTCTCCCGTTCCTGTACGCGGCTCGGCATTGCCGGCCTGGTCTCAGCCATGTCGCCTCAGATCGTCATCTTCTACAACGTGGTCATGCCGGATCGGCCACGCCTGCGACGCGGCGCGTTGGATCTACCCGACATCGGTGTCAAGATTGAAGATTGGGGGTCCGAATTGCGCGGCAACGCTTCATTCACAGACGCCTGGGAGTTCGGCGTGCCCTTGGAGGCAGGCTTCAAGGTCGGCGACAGGGTCTCCCATTTTCTCTCCGTGACAATGGCAGCCAGCAGCCGCGAGACCATCCGCTCGCGGGCCGACGATCGCCCCTGCGTTATCCGCGGCCGCAGTGGCGCCCTGAAGAGTGTGAGGAGTTTCTGCGTCTCCTGCGCTTGCGCGGTCGACGCGGACCGCACCGCCTACGCGAGGGCCGCTCTGCGAGACACTCCCTCTGGTCAGCGATCGAGCCTGTTTGCTTTGCTCCGCGGCCCAGCGAGCATGGGCATCCGACTTGCGCTGGGAAGCAGTCTGGACTCCATGGAGGAGCAGCTCCTCGATTGGAAACCTCGGATCAAGAACAAAAAGGATGCGCTGAACAAGGAGCTGGATCGTTGGACTGGTCTCGGGCGCGTCCTCCAGCGAGCGGTCTACGGCGCCCCCGTGCAGCTGGGGTGGTCGGACTTGGAGGAGTTTGCGGTGTCTCGGGATCCTTGCCGCTTCGGCCCAGGCGTCGGGCTGGGCCGAATGCTCGGCGAGCAATGCAGCTGCGGAGTGTTATCTTTCCGCAGCAATGCGCAGAAGCACTATGGCGACGTCGTCCCGGAGAGCATGTGGGCCCCTTACGTCGTACATCAGCTGAAAAACAATTGCATCCACGCGTTTCTAGCTGGCGAGATCACTTATTCCGGCACCGGCAACGTCCTCGTGCCAGCCTGCGCGAACGACGTTGACTGCAGCCTCGACGTCTGGGACACCTTGATCCTGGACCACCCCGTGGTGGACCCGGACCACGTTCGCGATCACGTGGCGCTCGTCGTGGCGGAAAAGCAGACGCGGGCGGTCGCGGCCGCTGCGGCGGAGATGCAGACGGGGGCAGGCGCAGGTGTATTCCCCGCGCTCGCGAACGGTGAGAAAGGGTCTCTCTTCGTCGAGGCCGTGGAGCGCGGCCTCGCGACCGCGGGCACTGACGAAGGGCCGCTCCTGCGACTGCAGCGCGGGACGTCAGTCCGCGGGCGGGTATTCGCTTGCATCGGTAAATATGTTGGCGCCGAGGCAAATGCTATCGCGGTCTTGAAACGCAGCCTCTGCACTGATCCGTCGCCGTGCTGCCGGTCGCTGCTGCCGGAGCACGGCGTAGCATCCGCTGGCGGCCAGCGCAATCCCAGTGTCTTCAAGCAGATGAGTTCCGATGAGTTCTTGAAGCAGTCCACGGACATTGGCAAAAAGTTCACGAACGCCCAGATGCAGTTCAACGGCCGCGCACTTGACCGGGAAGATGGCGCTGCCCTGTGCGAGGCCTACCCTGGCACTGGCAAATCAGCGACGGCGGCAGGCATCATTGCCAACGCGGCGAGGCATTGATTGCTCTGGCAATGCCAAGTGCGTGGCCCTCGCCCATCAGCGTGCCATGCGCGACGAGCTGCTGTCCAACATCCGATCCGCGCTAGACGACCCGCTGGCCACCGCCGGCGTGGGCCGACCTGCGGACGAAGCTCCGTCAGACGACGACGGTTATCTGGATTCGCAACTGCTGTCGGCAGCGAGCGGGCGATTCACCGATCTGCAGACGCGCATCGAGGAACTGCGCAACGACCTGGCCGCCGTTCGCTGCAATCCGGGCGACGGCGCGCTCGAGCGGAGAGAGCGGTTGGAGAAGACGGAGCTGATGCGGCACCTGTGCTTCGAGTACGACGCCCTCCAGGAGGAAGCCGCGGAGAAGCTGCGCGTCTTCGCCATGACCATCGACGCCTTCAACGACGCCCAGAGCGGCCGCAGCTGGTTGTCCAGGATCGTCAAGCGGTTCGAGATTGCATTCGTCATCGTCGACGAGGTGCACCAGGCCAACTTCGGCGAAGTGCAAGCCGCTTTGCCCGAGAGATCCGCCACCGACCTGCGACGGAGTTCCTGCGGGAGCCGAGGCCCGACAGAGCAGGTAATTACTACGAGTGGCAGATGGCCTGCCACGGGAAGTCCCGCGCGCGTGCTTGGGACCATGTTCCCGCAGACAGCGTCTCGCCCTTGCCAGTCGCGCGTCGGTTCGGCCCTGCGCCTGCCAAACTCCCCAGGGCAATCTCAGCTGTCTACGGTCGGCCTGGCCGGGAAATCAAGTGCGCGATCGAATGCGCCCGAGAGAGCGGGGGCTCGTCCGTGGACTTGTCGATTGTCCCGCGCACTGCGATGCGCTTCGTGTTCTACAGGGGCGCGCGATGGATTCCATCGCTATCCCGCGGCGCACTCGCCGACGACGCAGCGGAGGTGGGCCAGGTTGATCGCGCAGCTCCGGGCTCGTCTGCCGCGGGGGCAACGAGGTCACGAACGTCGACGTTGCGTGCCGGAGCTTCCGACGTCATTTTTCCCAGATGTTGTGCGAGGGCTTGTTCTTCCTGCGCGCGCTGGCGAGAGGTTGAGGGGGGGCCGAAGCTTTCGCGCGCTCAGACCCCCACCCCCCTTCCATCCCGCCCCCCCATCCTACAGCGACATATAGAACTACACCGCACATTTTTCCCCTGGAGCTGCGTTCGCGCCGCTCGGGGGAAAAAAATTTGCGTCGCCGAGAGCGGGGAGAAGGGGGTCTGTCGAAGCTGCGCCCCCTGTCGAATGCTTTGGGACCACTGTCAGGCGAGGTGGGCAAGCGCGTTGGCGGGCCGCGCATGTCGCTGGAGTCGACCACGAAGGCGGTCTTGACCATGATCCTTGCGAACGACGTGGGCGCCAATTTCGCCACGTTGGTGCGAGGTGCTCTGGAGGACGAGGAAGTGCGGGCGGCGTTCGGTCTGCCGGACTTCGTGGCTGATGCCCCCAAGCTCTGGCGCGCGATGCCCCAGAGCTCTGGGGTTCGAGCGGAAATATGGCGAAGCGGCAGCGAGGCCGGTGATGGATGACGATTGCCTGCGCGGAGGAGATAACGGAATCACGGAGACATGCATGCGACAGGCGCGGCTTCTCCCGGAGCCGAGCAAGCCGAAGCCGAGCGGCCAGAGCAGCGCGGCTGCGCCGCCGCCCGGAGTCGACTTCGAGGTCGGGGCGGGCGGCTCGCAGGAGACGGTGGGGCCCATGGCGCAGTTGCGCTGCCGCCTCCTCGGCCAGATGCTCGAGCGGAGTTTCGACGCCTTGACGTTCTCATATTTCAAGCAGATTCATACAGGGCAGATTCAGAGCTTGTCGGAGAAGAAACCCACGGTGTGGAAGGCGATGGAGTCCAGCGGATGGTATAAAGCTGGTCTGCGTGGCAAAGCAAAGGAGACGGTGTTACCGAAATTGTTGACCATTCGCAAGTATAGTGATCTTGTGCCGGATCCGAACGTGGAGGTCCCGGCCGTGCCCCCGGAGCAGTGGGGCCGCGCGGCGCTGGGCTGCTACGCGAACGACAACGCTTGTCGCAAACGCAACGTCGACATTATGATTAGTGTTTTAGCGGCCGCCCCGAAGCCGCGCGGGCGGAAGAAGCGCGGGGCGGAGCCCGAGGTGGGCGACAACGCCCATCTGAGGCCCATCTGCGCGCGGTCGGCGCGTCCATTAAGGCAGCAGAGCACGCTCTGGAAGAGTTGCTCGAGGGCGCGCGCGAGAAGCCGACCTTGGCCCCCGCCGACGCACCAGCGGAGAAGAGGAGGAAAATCATTGTGAAGAGAAGCGCCAGCGGTGGCATCGACGTGGCGGAGCGCAGCATCCCCTACACATACAAACGCACTGCGGCCCGTCGCTTCGCGGAGGGTCCGGCGGCGCAGGGGTGCCCGGCGCGCGTGCTACATGCGATGCTGCAAGGCACCGTAGATCTCGACATCCACAGCGCAGTTCTGACCATCGTTTGGCAACTCGTGGAACAACTTGGCATGGCCGATAAGGACCTGGTCAAGGAGGAGTTGGAGATGTTGAAGCGGCTGGCCGAGGACAGGGGCGAGGCACTGCGGGGCGAGTTGCCCGACATGGGGCCCCAGGCGGCCAAACGCTTCGTACTCGAGACCATCGGCGGGTCCCGCTCTTTCGATGCTGATGCCATGCCCTTCGCCAAGAAGTTGCAGCGCGTGAGCCGCGTACTGCGCTGGCTGGCATGCTCGGCGTTGCCCGAGGTTTACGGCGGCTTCTGCCGAGACGCCGCGCTGGGCGACGGCGAGAAGACGGAGAAATGGCCAGAGGGGCAAACGTTCTCTGCTTTCTACCGGCGCGCGGAGGACTACATCCTCCGCGAGTGGCATACGTGGGTGCTCACGCAGCCGGTCAAGCATTTGTCACTGCATTTCGACGGCGTCAGGATCAGCAGAGACGCGGTGCTCGCAAGGCATGCCTCCGTGGCGGACTACGCCGCTGACGCGAGTGCCCACGTCGCGAAGGAAACAGGCTTCGTAGTCAAAATCAAGGAGAAGACCCACCCGACGATCGCGGAGGCACTGACGAGCTGCGGGGCGTGGCGGTCGGTGGATGCGGCGCCCAGAAACCTACTGAAGCCCGCAATGGTATTCTGCTGGCGCTGTGGCGATGCGGCGACGCCAGGGTCTCCGCGCCCGTTGTCTCTAGCTTTAGTGCCACGTCCGTGGAGAACAATGCCGCCAGGGTGGAGAAGGGGAGAACGTACGCGGAGTGTTGCCTGAGCCACGGCGTGTCAATGACGCCGCAGCTGGGCTTCGATGCCTGCGAGCAGGGGTTTGATCTGCTCCACATGGACGGGCATGGTTCGCCATCATGCGCACTAGTCCACGCGGGGGCTGAGCTCGACAAGGCGACGGTCTATTTCTGTGACAAAGCCGGTGAGATGAATCTGGAAGAGCTCCGTGATGCCGTCCTCGTCCGGCGAGATTCGAGGCTATCAGTCACGTTTCACATTGATTTGCCCCTGCGCCGCAGGCAGCCGCTGAAGACAGCGGCGACGCCAGTCCCTTGGCAGAGCTCCTGAATATGATGGCGTGAGGCCTGCGGCAATGGAGTCTTTTTCGCCGCTCTTCCCTTGCATTGCTCTTTGCTTCGCCGACTGCCCTACAAGCAGGTAAGCTCACGCGCAGTGGGGGAATACAAAGTTAATGATTGTTCACATGCATCCATCACCATGCCATATATGATTTTATATGGATCGGAAAAGACTTGGACAGCATAGCTTACAATGATAGTATGAGCAGGTTTGTCTTTGCAGAGGTATCTGTGCGCCTCCTGAGACGCCACTCGCCGCGTCGGCTCAAGGCATATCTTGTGCGTGGGTCGGCTTTGCCGCCCTGTGTTCTCTTCGCTTTGCATTTACCAGTATTTCTCTGTGGGTCGGCCTTGCCGCCCTGGCACCTCATCGCCTCGCCGCGCGCTACCAGGCATGTGCGATGCTCTCGCGGCTGTCGAAGACGCCGACCCGCGCGGAAGGCGAATCCGATGTGTTTCCGGTGTCAAGCGGTCCATCGAGAATGTGTCAATCCAGCTCCTGAGCAGCACTGGCGAGCTGGAAGATGACGAGAGGCCCGCGACACCAGACCCCTACCTGCCTGACGTCAGCAAGCGGCAGTGGGAGGCCAAAGTTGTTGCCTGGCGCAGGGAGATGTCACAACTGCTTGACGAAGTGCCAATTGGTGCGACGGAATTGGCAGCGGCCGAAGAGCTCGGCGTCTGGGTAGAGCCCTCGCCGCCCGCCGTGCGCGGCTGTCGAGCTCTCCTGCAATATGGAAACTGCATACTGCTTGCATACAGCATCCTGACGCAAGACTTCTGCGGCTCGACCGACTATTGTGCGCCATTTCCCGTTCGTCGAGGCGCGGTGCGCCGCTGCGCCGACGTCGCGGCTTCTCTCTGGCCGTCGCGCGCCAGCAGGCTTCGCGGCAGGGTGCGTGCTCACTCGCGCCCGGAAAGTATTTCTGTCATGTGCGGAGGCATTTGCTGCGCTGCGGCAGTCCTTTCAGGGACAGATTCGGTAGTCTGGTGGAGAGGTTTCAGCAGGCACGTTCTGCCGACGGCGCAGTCGGTGCGCCGCGTCGAGGAAGTCGAGGGCGCGCTGTTGCACATCACTTACAGCGGTGAGGGCGCACTCGGCGTCCATTTAACAGCTGGGCGGAAATCCTGAAGACCGCGGCCGGCAGTTTTCCCCCGAGGTGCGCTCGCGCTGCCCCGGGGGGAAATTTATCACATCCAGACAGGGATAGCGTTGACAAGGTGTATAGCGAATAGGGTTACATAAGAATATCATGCGACAGAATACGATATCAATTATACTCTCGTAATTACCTGAACATCGAGGCAACATTGCACTCGCCGTCGCGATTCGTCGATGGCCGCTCGCTTCATCGGCTCAGGATTCTAGCAAACGTGGCTCGGCATTGCCGGCCTGTTTTGATTTCTCCACTTTTCCCTGATTGTGGATCAGCGCTGCTGTCCGGTAGCCTCTCGTCGCATTTCGTGCCATGGCCGCCGACGACCAGCGCGTTGCTGCCACCCATGCGTGTCTCAGCTTGGCTCTGAACGCATTGGAGGCACACGTGCCGACCAGCGTGCGAGGCCCATTCCGTGCGCTCGAGCATGGGAACCAGTGGCTGTCACATCTCGGCTTCGCCCTGATCCGGCAGCCGCGGGGTCCGACTGGTCCAGGGCGTTACGTCAAGTGGGGGCCGCCGCGGCGCGAAACTGGATTGGCCGCGAGCGTCGGCCACTTCGCGGCCGCCATCCTGCGGCCCGGCAACGCCACTGTGATAGACCGCCGAGCAGGTCTGCCAGCGGTTCGCGAGTGGTTGGCGCGGGGCGACATTCCGGACGTCGAGGAGCACAAGTGGTTCTTGTTGGTGGAGCTCGGCGCGCGGAGGTCGGGGCCCGAGGGCGGCCGCCCTCTTCCATGGGGCACGACTTCTGGAATTATCGAAGCTCATAGGCTGGACGCAATCATCCGTCGGCGCGCGGCTCGCGAACGAGCGACCCCCTATGGGCCGGCGTCGTCGTCGGGCTCGCTCGCGCCGCAGGAGGCTGCCTGGGTTTCAACGAACCGAGAGGAGGCAATGCGGCGCAGGGCTTCGCGTCTGTTCTGCCCGTTGCCGCCAGTGGGGTGGCCCGGTACTCAGGTGCCCCAAGTCCTATGCGATTTCTCCCTCGAGCTGCCGCGTCTTCCGAAGATCCGCTTGCTCGAGCGACTCAACGCTCACCCTCGGGACTCCCAGTTGCATTTCGTCGAAGAGTCGCACACCTATTACATTAGCGGCGCGCGAACGCATGGGTCGGTCACGGGATTGATACATGAGTACTGCAGTGTTTTCGACGCTGGCGCTGTGATTGGGAAGATGCGGAGCGGGCGGAACTGGCCGCGACCTGATTATTTGCGCCACCCTCGCCCGGAAGACGTGGTCGCGGAGCTGCGGGCCACGGCGGAGGCTGCTCGCTTGCACGAGTTACTTGTTTCGCACGGGGCTTGCGACGCCGAGATCTGCGCCGAGATGAAGGCAACTGCGAGAGCGGCCCCCCGCTTGGCAAACCAACTGGAGGGTCTATCTCTCTCGGATCACGAGATCGTGGAGAAATGGCGCCTGGACAAAGAAGAGGCGGCTAGGCGGGGCACCTGGATGCACTGGACGTTCGAGGCCCACCTCGACCGCGTCCCGGTGTCCCACGATGCCGTCGAGTTCCAGTTGTTCTTGGAATTCTTGGGCGCGCTGGAAGGTCTGGCGGCTTTCCGCGCCGAGTGGGCCATCTTCGCCGAGCACGAGGGGCTTGCTGGGTCAATCGACTTCGTGGCTCGAGACTCCGCGGGCAGCCTGTGCATATACGATTGGAAGCGGGCGAAGAATTTACGAAGTTCACGAACCCATGGGGGAATATGAAGTTTCCATGAAGCCGATTGTCAGACTGCCAGGGAAATCATTACCTGGTGCAGCTTAACATCTACAGGTGGATGTTGGAACATTACTACGGCGCCCGCGTGGCCGCGATGTATGTGTTCTGCCTTCATCCGGACAACGGCGACCAGCCATTTGTGGACGACGTGCCGGTGATCCCAGATATCGAGGAGCCCATGGCCATTCAACGCACGAGGCCCCGAGAGTTGCGGGCAATGGCGTCGGAAGACGCCCGCGAGATAGACCCCCTGGGCGGCTGGCCGCGGCCAGTCGTGGCGGCGCGCCTGCCGCATTGCCTGAGCACCGCGGCCAATTTCGATCGCGCCTTTCGCCAGATGTCAGTGGACGTCGCGCACTGGCGTTGCCGTTGCGATTGTGCGCCGCCCTCTTGAGGTGCCGCTGCAATTGCCGAATGCCAACTGGCAACGGATGAAAATCGCGCGCATGAGCTCTGCGGGAGCCACGCTGGCAACCGCGTGCCCTCAACTTCCGCGGAAGTAGCGATGCCCTCGCATGAAGGAGAGCGTGGATGCGACGCTTGCGTTGCCAAAACAAGAAATTGTTCTGTATATTTACAACAGCCAAAGCGGAGAGGGGCACACAGACATCATATAGCCCACGCCATCATTGCAAAGAGTAAATGCGGACGCAAGTTGCGCTAGCCAACAGGCGACGCGCGCAGAGTCCGCTCGGGAGTAGCATAGAATCTGATTTTTCCCCAGCTCGCGTTTCGGCGATGCGCGGGGGAAAAATCAGCACGGCCGCTCGCTTCATCGGCTCCGGATTTTAGCAAACGTGGCTCGGCATTGTCGGCCTGCTTTGGCTTCCCCGCTCTTTCCCTGATTGTGGATCAGCATTGCTGTCCCGTGATCTCTCTGTCGCACCTCGGCGCCATAGCCACCGACGACCAGCGCGCTGCCAGTTCTCCATTTCTGAGCTCGCAGCCCCCTGAGGTGGGCGATCCGACGCCGCGCGGGAGGGCTCGCCAGCGGCGCGCATAGTCTGGCGCCCGCTCGCTGACGCCGGCGCGCAGGAAGCTTCGACTGTCCTCACGGGCTGCCCGCGAGGCTGCAGCGCAAACATCTTCGTCGTCTCCGGAAAGAGACGACGCCGCTGACATCGAGGCTTCCGCGCTGATGGTATCGAAGATCTTAAATGAAGCATTCGATTATATTATGTCATGCTTCCCTTCCTTGCGGAGACGGACATTAGCGTGTTGTTTCGCACTGGATCAACAGATTCGCCAAGACAAAACGTTCATTCTCGTGAAACCTTTCAGTTCGAGCGGGCCCAGGGCCTCGCGTGGCCCGCACGGTGCCGGACTGCCCGGAGTCCTCGCTGTTGTGCCTCGCTGGTTTCAGCCTGCCAACGCAGAACTTGCCTCGGTGACAGCCCCCAGCCCTGTTCACGATCGCTGTTTCCTTTGCGGGATGGACGACGGAGACGTCGACGGCATCGGCCACTATCTGGAAGGGTGCGTGGCCACGATGAGATCATTTCCTTTCCCCGAATTGACACATTTGCGCGCAACGACCTCCGCGTGGGCCATGTTGGCGCAGCGATTGGAGTCTCACGGCGACGTCTTCGCATGCGCGCGGTGCAGCGGAGTCTGCGTCGCCTGGGAAGACACCCTGAACATAGATTTCACCGTCGATCTGCTCAGACTGCACAGGCGACACGCGGCTGAAGAGCAAGCAGGGACGTCGGCCGACTCGCGCCCGCGACTGGACTCGGGGGGATGCGGCGGCGCTGACGCCATTGCGCGGCCCTCCGTCAAGAGCGGGCCGTGACTTCCGATCGAATCTTTGCGCAGACGAAATCGCGACTCGTCAATCATCTTAATATTTCTTCCTCGCCTTCCCACGTGCCCAACGTGGCATGGAGCCTTCATGTCGCTCGATATCCCCCATTGCCTAGCTCCTACATATTCGACGGCAGCGCCACTGATGGATCGTTGGTTATCTCTGCATCACCCTCCGGCTCAAGACATGCGTTCCCCGTGGGTCGGTTTTGCCGCCCTGTGTTTCTTCTGCCATCTCACCCGTGGGTCGGTCTTGCCGCCCTGTGTTGTTTTCCCTACCACCTCTCCGCGCTATCTCACATGCGCGGCGCACCCGCTCGCCAGGAGCAGGACGGTGCCAGGCTCGCGCGAGCGCCGGCTAGGAGACGGATCAAAGGCAAGAGTACGGCGGACGACGTCGGCGAGGGCTGGGTGCGCCTCGCGGCCGAGCAGCGCGAGCCTCACGAGCTCGCGGACGTGGGCTCGGCGGATGCACCTGAATTTCCGAGCGGCGATGAGGGCGAGACAGCAGTGCGGACAGAGTTGTTCGAGTGCCTGGAGAAGGAAGTCAAGAGTTACGCTGCGGGGGTGGCGCTCCTGCGCCCCAAGCGGGACAGCGAGTGCGTGAAGTTGAAGTTTGCGTGCGGTCTATGACCGTTCCGATCGTTCTCGACGCAGGCGTTGCTGGCCACGCACGTCTCCAAGTACCACCTCAGAAAGACGCGATTCGTGGCCTCTGGCACGAAGCAGTTCAATGTCGTGTGCGCGTTGTTCGACAACGACCGACTTCTGCGAACTCCAGCAGGGAGTTTGCTGAAGCGGTCTGCGACGATCCTGCGCGAGACAGTATCGCCTGCTGTTCATTGCGGACAGAACGCCATTGACAAGGACATTGTCCTGGTCCTCGACGACGACGGGCCGTCGTATCAGAACAAGGCAGCTGTGGGACATAATCTCGCGTGCAGACGAGTGGGGCACACGTGCTATACCCGCGGCTTCGCGGAAATTCTGTTGCAGGAGTCCTTGCGCCACCATGGGCGCGTTCGCCCTGCGATGTCGCGGACGTGCGCTCGCGTCGTGGAGCAGGGCTCCGAGCTGAGCAGCATGTTGCCGACGCGCGTTGATCACTGGCTGAAGCTAATGGGAGACGTGTTCAACAGCGCGCACGTAGAAATGCGCAGCGCGGCGTTGATGGAAGAATGCCACCGGCATGAGGAATTCCTCCACGTATCCATGGGCGCCAGTATCTCCATGGACGCCAGTCTCCATGTCAAGGGCCAGGCAGATTATCGGTCTGCACAAGCAGCGCGCGACGCTGCACCCGTGCCGGACGTGGACGCCAAGCGCCGCGTCCTGACTCTCGCGGGCAGGACGGGCGCGGCGCTCGGTGTTTTCCTGACGAAGGACGAGGGGGCTGACGAAATAGCTGGAGCCCTTGCAGCTCGTTGGTCGGCGGCGCGCAGATCGCAGACGGTGTCCGTCGCCTGTCATCAGCCGAGCAGCGCGCTATTCCAGGCCTTGCGAGGCTCAGCCTTTCCCAATTTATTTATCTTGAGCCTCGACCCGGTCCATCTGCCCATCACGTACGAGGAGACGCACTGGAGGGAAAAGACAGTGGGATCACGCCTGTTGCGGATTTTGATGGCCAAGTTCACGAAGGTGGATTGCGCACTACCCGCGCACTACTGGGGGGCGCCGTTCGACGGGGCGAATGCCCCGAATCTGCGGCCAATAGAGGAGCGCGCGCGAGCACAGATACTCGATCATTCACTCGCGAAGTCGCGATCACAACATGTGATCGACCACGTGAACGCCGAGCTGCCATGGAAAACAACGCATGAGCTTATCGAAGCAATTGCCGCGCTGAGCGCGTTGGTTCCAGAAGAGCTTGCTCGCCGCACCCACGTGAATAACGTTCAACTGAAGAGGTTGCTTTGCAATGCGACTGCCCCAGCTCGCATGCAATGGTTCTTCAATAATCAGCGATTCAGGCATTCCTTGCCGGCGGCGCGCTTAGCCCTGTTGGGGTCTGGCACGTCCGTCAACGAACCTTTCAACCACGAGATCAACACGTGGTTTCGCAACCAGGGGGACATCTACGCTTCGACGGCGGAGCTTCAACTTAGGATTGGATTGTCGGGGAAACTGCAAGCCCACAGTTGCGCGCTGCATATGCCGACGCTGCGGCAGCTGCGACAGGCCAACGTGCTATCGCGAAGCGTTATGGCCTGGGCTTTGCCCGGGGATCATTGGAAGAGTTACTGCGCGCTCCAGGCGCAGTGCGGCGCCGACGTCCTGGCGCCTGCACGGCTCCCGCTCCGCGAAGCCCGACAGAGAGTCGCGCGGCTGATTGCCGAACGCGCCGCATGCGTTCGGGGGAAGCCAGCGGCGCGCGAGACCACGCCTGTTGGGCGGCGCGCTGCTCAGAGGAAGCCCGCTGCAAGGGCGCTCTCGGACAGTCTGCGCGATAGTAAAGTGCCCAGGATCAAGAGGACAGCCTTCGCTTCGAAGCGCAACCCAGCGTCGCGCGGGGCCTCTGGCCAGGCTCCCACCGCGCGCACTTGCCAGCGGTGACTGATGCCGATGTGCCTCCTCTTCGTCAGCGTTAAATGCTTCCCTTCCGTACCCTTCCTCTCCCCTCTCAGTTCTTCTGAGTCATTATCGGGCCATGTCTTCCTTTGAGCCTTGAGCCTCGAGAGCTTATGTCCATAGGCGCGTGATCCCGGATGTCGCTACGACAGTGGCTATATAATCTGTTGAATTTTCCCCCGAGCTGCGCCCCCGCCACTCCGGGGGACAAATGCACGGCGCGAGTTCTACAGTCTCGACGCCTGGGCCGTCATAGTAGGAGGAAACGAGGAGGCCACAACGACGCTCGCCACAACGACGGCGAAAGCCGTGGCGATGATGATGATGGCGTTGATGATATGCTGGCTGCGATGATGACGAGATTGACGATGATAGCGATGAAAGTGCGTAGCAGGAACACGAGGAGGAGGAGGAGAAAGAGGAAGAGCAGGAGGATGATCAGGAGGATCTGGGAGGGCGGGGAGAGGGAATATAACAGTCTGCGGAAATCGTGACGAAAAGGAAGAGAAGAGGATCGATGCAAGGAGAGGTCGAGGAAAAGTGAGCTAACGAGGATGAGTCTTACTAAAAAAGAATAAAACATAGCAGGAGAGAAGGGAACGCACATTGTACCATAATGACCCCCTCACATATATATATATATATATATATATATATATATGTGTATTATCCTCATGTTCCGCCAAAAGTGCTTGCACTTGGGGTCGTCCTATGTTTTCTAAGGAGCTGGGCCCGTCTGCCGGCCCTGCGGCTCCGCTCCTGCCCGCCGCCGCCCCGGTCGTCCAGAGGGGGGTCCCGCCCGTGCTGCCCAGCGGCCCCACTCCCGCCCGGCGCCGCCGCCGCCCCACTGCACCCAGGAGGGAAAACAAACACACACACAGACGCAATGACTCTTCGATGCCCCAGAGAATATGGGAAGTGGGGGGAAGACAAAAACCCAGAAGGTATGGGAAGATACGGGGAATCGTTTTATCTGTGTGTGCAATTCTTTGTGTGTCCCATGGCCCCTTCATGCACCCCCCCCCACACCCATGCATCCCCCCGATTGCATCGCAAGCTTTGCGCTGCTCTCCGCCACGTCTTTGCGTCGCTTTGTTTTGTGCTGCGCTGCAGTGTCCCTTTGTGCGCTGCTTCAGGAGGGATATTCCAGAAAAACTGATACATTGTCAGGGGACGATGTTCCGTTTTCTTTTGTCAATGCTTATCCTTGTTTGGCTATTGCTGTTCTTCCAAAACCCGCCTGTAGGAGGACATGCCCGATTTAAATCTACGATCGGCACAGCGGCCCTTGCTTTCCAGGTTGCGAGCCGAAGGTTTGAGGGTGGGGACTCGGAGGTGCGATGGGCCACGCGCCATTCCACCGTCAGTGGGCGACTCGACCATAGGCCAGTTGGCTCCCAAGGGCTCGGTGGCTCTTCTCCCATTGACTTGCTCGGCCAAGTGATCAGATGTAGACCCAGATGTGTGTAGGTACCTCCAGAGGCCTCCAGATGATCTTGGATGCGCATGCGATGCGGACCGAGGGACAGCATAACTCGTCGTAACAATCTGGTCGTCTTGAGACTACACCTGCCACGCAGGGTGTCAGTTGCCTGGCACGGGGGTCTCTGCTCATCGAGGTCGATGCACCTGCAATGGCGTGCGCCCGCGGAGCAATCATAATACATGTTCGTATATGTATGTATGTATATATATACATCCATCAATTGGTGCGTTTCTGGAACAGCTAGATCTAGTATTTCTGGCGTTGGGTCGATTGTTGATTGTTTGTGCATACTTTCTCCCGCTCGCTTCTCCCACATATTTGCGCGATCCCCTTGCGGAGGTGCTGCGGCGGGACACGTTCGAGGACTGGCCGTCCCGCAAGCCCGTGTTGCGCGCCCTGCTGCGCTACGTGCGCCCTCGTCATTGCTCCCCTACGCGTGGCCAGCTTCTTGCAGCCCCTCGTTTTTGTTTTTACAACGGCGAGCGTGTGTTCGCCATGTGTCGTCTCCGGGTGCCATCGCTGGGTCCCAAGTCCGTCAGACAAGTATTCAAGAGGAAATGTTGGCCCTGGAGACTGAGTCGAGACCTCTTGGTGCCGATGTGATGAGAACAACCGCGCCCGGGGTCTGGGACGGATGGCGCTCGTCCAGCCTCACCCCCTCCCTTCATCAATCCAGGTCTTCCGCCCGCGCTACCCAACACACCACTGGGGCCGTCTCCGCTCTTTCAGCCGCAGTGGGCGTCTGTCTTCTTCCACCTCCCGTCGCAATGTGTCGTACTCCTCCTCAGTTCTTGTTTCTTGTAGGTCAATCCTTCCTGTTGTGCCACCAGTCGTGTCGGTAGGGCGCGAATTTCGCCCGAGCCACTTACGACCCTGAAGCTTGGACTTCACAACGCCTACAAGGATGGAGGGCGGCTCTCTTTCACTCGCCTTGCCTGCGCGCGCATTTGCTTCAGAACTAACCAACAGCTGCAAGGACGGAGGGCGGTACGTTTTCGCATTGGGGCTCTCGCCTTAGCGCCGAGCACAGTCGCCTTCACATCACGCAGCAGTTGCCAGAATGGGGAACAGTCCTGTCAACTGGCGAAGAGATGTGGGAGCCTTGTAGCACAAGGAGATGTAATGTGTAAAAAACACGTGTAGCTGCAGCGCGCGTGGCTCATACGTTGCCCATTTTCAAAAACAAAACTCCTCCATGGTATTCCATGTGCCGCAGATCTCTGCCAAGACTTGCCGATACCAGGAGAAAGAATCTGTCGCCGCGCCGTTTGCTTCGAAGCGCGGCCTCATGCCTGGGGGAGGGAAGCCGCGGCCACCAGGTCAAACGCCGCCTCGCGCGCGGTGGGTTTGCCGTGGGGGTTGCCGCGGTGTCGGCGTCGTCTGCCTGGGGCGTGGGGCGCAAGATTCGTCGAGGATTTGCGGTGGTGTCGGCGTCGTCTACCTGGGGCGCGTCGAGAACAAACGGCGCGGCGACATATCTCCGTATACACGATAACGGCGATGCAGGTAACGGCGATGTAGGCTTTGGTATTGTAGGTGGGGGTGGTTCGTGGCCAACCCAGTTGAAGAAAAGGCCTGTCCGCGTGCTCCTACCACTTGTTCTGCGCGAGTTCGGCGTCGCCAAAACCATATTCCCAACATCGCCGTGAACCAACATCGCCGTTGGCGTGGCCCTGGGCAGGACTGTGGCTGGGGGGGGGCTCAGACGGAGAGGAGCAGGGGGCGGGGTCTTCGCCCCCCCCCCCCGCCCTCTGGAAGCCTGCTTTGGAAGCCCGCGAGCCCCTCCAAAATATCCCCTGGCACTCCAGGGAGGTCGCCGTGCGATCTCCCCCGACGGCCCGACCTTCTCGGCCCGTCAACATTGCTGTGAACCAGCATTGCCGTGAGCGTGGCCTTGGTATCTTCCCGAACGTCGTCGTCCCGTCGCCTCTTCGGTTACCGTTCAGCAGGATTGAGCGCATTGGAAACGCATGCCAAGAAGCACCCTGCTCGCCTCCAGGGTGCCCTGGGTTTCTTGGGATCCCATGGTTTTATTATGGAAACCGTGACGTCCCCATGCCCAAACTCTATGGACATCCTAATTCGGGTCTCAGGGTTGGGTTTCGTGTGGAAGGTTTCTTGTGGTGATCGTCTCCTCATTCATTGTCTTGCCGATCGCTGCGGGCCCTCGCAGCCCCCCTTCCCCCCCTGGAGTAGATCTTGGCTGTCTTTGGCGCCTGCTTCAAGCATGTGGAGCCTCCCCCACAGGGCGCACCGTTGCAGACAGTCGCGCGAAGCAGAGGTCCAGAGCCAGACCTCCCCCCCTCCCCCCCGACCCTTCCGCCCACTGTCGAAACGCCGAATAAGCAAACGTTCACGAGGTCTAGCTCCTACTCCCACGTGGGGCCCTCCTCCTCCTCCTCCTCCTCCGCCTTCTCCTCCTCCTCCGCCTCCTCCGCCGCCTCATCCTCCTCCTCCTCCTCCTCCTCCTCCTCCTCCCCCTCCTCCGCCTCCTCCTCCTCCTCCTCCTCCTCCTCCTCCTCCTCCTCCGCCTCCTCCTCCTCCTCCTCCTCCTCCTCCTCCTCCTCCTCCTCCTCCTCCTCCGCCTCCTCCTCCTCCTCCCGCGCCCAGAGCCGCCCGCGGGCCTCTCCCGTCGAGGTGCTGCCCCGCGGCTCCCACGTGGCCGACTTCTGCGGGCGCAGCGGCCAGGCGCGGGGCGGCGCGGTGGCCCCGCGCGCGTCGGCGGGCCTGGCGGGCGTCCAGAGCTTAGCGGGCCCTGGAAACCCAGACCCCCTCGGGTAATGAAAAAATCATGACGGGAGGTTTTTCCAAATGTTTGGCCTTTTGGAGGCCCTAACCGGCCCTCGGGACCGTCAAAAAACGATTCAGGATGAAAAACCGGTCCCGGGGAATGGGTCGAGACCTCTGGGGGTCGACGTCATGAAAAAATCATGACGTCGGGGGTCTGGGAACGACAGGGCCGTTTTTGTTACCGGTTCCGCTTTGCCGTTTTTGTTGCCGGTTCCGACGCCGTTTCTTTACCCGTTCCGTCGCCGTTGTTTGACCGGTTCCGGCTCCGGGTCCAATCTTGCAGCCGTTTGTTTGCCGTTTCCGGTCGCCGTTTTTTTTTACCGTTTCCATTTTCAAGGGACATTTTTTCGGAAACGGTGAAAAAACGGCCCTGCTGTTTCCGGGGCCCACAAAGGTCCAGAGCGCTTGCCCCAGACCCGCGACAAAAATCACGACGGGCGGTTTTTGTCGCTCTCTTTTTCAGCCTCCCAGGTTTTTCGCTATGTTCGGCCCCCCAGGTTTTTCGTCATTTTCGACCTCCCGGGGCCCCGACCGGGCCTCGGAAATCACGGCGTCGGGGGTCTGGGAATATCGAGGCTCCAGGATCGAGGAGGATTGAAGATCGGCTACCCTTCCTAGACAGACTCGCGTCGTGAAAAATCTAGGGCGGAAGGTTCTTGTCGTTTTCGGCCCTTGGGGGCCTTGACGGGGCCCCCAGACCGCCAATCCTTGGGAAAGGGTCCGGACCTCCGGGGGGCACTTTGAAACAAGTCAGGATATCGCTAAACAAATCAGGACATCGTTGGTCTCGGTGGAGATCCTGGCGTGGGTTCTTCACAACGGGCGGTTCTGCCTCATTTCGGGCCCAGGGACCCTCACGTCGTCGTCGTCGTCGTCAGAGGGTTCTGGTCGTGATTATGTTTTGCGATTTTGAATTTTGCTGCAACGCCAGATCTCAGAGGAGTCTGGCCGGCGTCTGGAGCGCCCGAGGGGCAAGGATCGAGGATCCACATTGACGTTCTTCGCGCCGTTGGTTAAGGAAACGAAAACATGGATTAAGGCGCGTGCATCCCAGACCCTCTCGCGTTGCGAAAACATCACGACGGTAGGCTTTTCGCTATTTATGTTCGGCCTCCGGGGGCCCTTACTGGGCCTCGGGACCGTGAACAAAACGATTCAGGATGAAAAACCGATCCCGGGGAAGGGGTCCAGACTCCAGACCTCTGGGGTTCGAGGCTGCGAACAAATCGCGACGTCGGGGGTCTGGGGATATGGCGACGGGCGCTGCTTCCAAACGAGATCGACGCGCTCCGTCGCCCAACGAGGCGGCACGGGCCTCACCTCCCGGGACGTACCCCCCCCGATCCGTGGATCCGGCGCCCACGCGCCAGATCCACGGATCCGTAGTCCGTGTCGGCCTGCGGACGAGCGCGAGGCACAAGGGTGACCAGAGGGTTTTGGCCGCTCTGGGCCCCTGGTGGCCAGCCAGGGCCGGCCCCGGGGGTCATCAGAAAACGAGTCGATCAGGCCGAGAAGCCGGTCCCCGGGAAGGAGTCCAGGCTCGAGGGCAGCCACGCTGCGAACAGAAAGCGACGTCAGATGTCTGGGGAGGGCCCTCAGACCCAGCGCCTCGGGAAAATCGGCGCGGCAGTTTTTGCTGACTTCTCATTTCTGACGCATAATTGCTGATCCCCCCATGCGCGGTCATTAAGAGATGTGTTTTTCGATTGAAGTGTCCCCCCCCGGGGCTCGCACCTTTATAATGCCAAGGAAAGTCTTGGGTCTTCATGCAGTGGGCGGCGACGGAGGCGGTTCTCAGACTTGTTTGCTTCACGCATGTGTTTACTGAAAACTTCTCCACTAGCCTAGAGACTAACTGCGCAGGAGTTTCTCAGCATTCGGCCGCCCCTGCGGCCGATTTTCGAGAAACTCCTGCGTCGTCAGTTTCTTGTCAAGGAAGAACCACCTGGGCCCGACGATTGGCGCTTACTAAAGGGTTTCCCAAAGAGCCTTGCCCTGTTCGATTCCTTCTGTGGGTGCGTTTGCCAAACGGCTTCGCGTGTCGGGGTGATCATCATGTTGGTGGAGTGTCTGCCCTCCACAGTCAACCGTGACAGTAAGGACGGGGCAACTTTCCAAGGCTGCCCTTGCATCCCTGCCCCTTCGGTATTCGGCATCCGTCGGCATCCTGGTCGAGTGTATCCTGGCCGATGGAGAGTTTTTCTCGAGACCTACTTCACGCACGCGCTTGGTACCGCTCGGACGCGTGCACTTTCTCTCGGCGGGGACTCTGAGGAAGCATCCTGGATCATCCCTCCGAAAAAAATGAAAATCAATATATATATATATATATATATATATACATACATATAAACTAATATATAATAATAATAATAATAATAATAGTAATAATAATATTAGTAATAATAATAATAATAATAGTAATAATACTAATCATGATAATAATCATAATCATAATCATAATCATAATCATACTCATAATCATAATCAGAAGAAGAAGAAGAAGAAGAAGAAGAAGAAGAAACACGCGCGAAGCCGACGAAAAGCACAGGGAGCGGACGTCCGAGCGATGGCCGGAGCAGCTGCTTCGAGAGCCTCTCCACGGGCCGCGCGGCGAAGAGGCACGCGGCGGCCGGAGGCCTCGAGGCCTGCTCCTGCGCCGTCGGTTTTTGTTAGGGGGGGGCTGCGGAGGGGGGCTGCGGACCCTGACCTTCCAGGAGGGCTAAAAAATAGCACCCGACCTAAAAACCCATCCCAGAGCTATTCTACGTCTCGGTTTTAGGCTGTTTCGTTCAGTTTTTTGTTTGGTTTTTAGGTCTCCAGTGCTAAAAATAGCTCTCTGGAAGGTCAGGGGAGGGGGGCTCCTCTCGGAGCGGCGCTCCGCCCGCCCGCTCCCCCTCGCGGGGGGCACTCCGAGCCGCGCCGCCCGCCGCGGGTTTTTTTTCGGGCTGCGGAGGGGAGCTCCCGTCCAGCCGCCCGCCCGCCCGCCAGCGCGGGGGGCACTCCGAGGAGCGCCTCCGGGAGGCAGGTTCTCCAGGCCGCGGAGTGCGTTTTCTTCCTCGGAAGTGCCCGAGGGGCCTGCCCGGCCTCCCCCCCTTTTTTCAGATTTGGGCCCTGCGTAATGGGGGATCATAAATGGGGGGCGGCGAGTGTGGTCCGAAAAGGCACCCAAATGGTACCTAAAACGAGCCCCCTGGAGCCCTGGAGGGGCCCGAAAGGGGCACGAAAGAGGACCTTTTCTGACCCCCCCATTTCTGACCCCCCCATTAAGCCACGCCCAACAGGTCTGTGCGCATTCTGAGGGGAAGAGTTTGCCCGACGTCGGTGCTGGAGAGGGCAGTTTCTTCAGGTGCCGCGTCAGGACTTCTCAACGATGCACTTCGGAACCGCGCTGTCGCTGGAGACTCTCCCGCGAATCATGTAGGAACGACGCTGCAGCGACTCGCCCGCCCGACCCGCCCTCCTCTCTCCCCGATGCCTGTGGTAAGGATTACGCCAATGACGCGTGCAGGGAAGGAGGATGTCCCCCCAGAGTGGCACGATCAAAGACGTAGAGGCCGGGTATCGAGGGTTTGGGGATACATGCTGGTTGGCACGCGAGCATCTGAAAGCGAATTTTCTTTCAATGATTGTTGTCAATGCTGGTGATGTTGCTGGACCCTCACGTCCGAAGAATAACGGTGCACATTACGTTTTTTTCAGTTGAAGTGCCCTTCCTGGGGCTCCATGTTGGCCCCCGAACTACTACAACATCTGATCCAGCCTTGTAGTTCCTCACTATATATATATATATATATATATATATATATATATATATTGAAGAGTGGCGCTCTCGCTCGGGACTTCCTTGCGATTTACCAACGAATCGCGCTCCCGCGTGGGACTGCCTCGCAATTGATTCAGATGCCGCGGCCTCGACACTCAGGAATCACGCTTTCGCGTTGGCCTTCCTCACGACGTACGTGGGAGTCGCGCTATCGCTGTAAGTTCCTTCGCAACTCACGCAGGACAGAAGCTCGGAATCGCGCCATCGCTGGAATCGCCGGAGTCGCGCTATCGCTGGCGCTGGAATTCCATCACGATTTACATCGGAATCGCGCCATCGCTGGAGACTGTCTCGCGAATCATGCAGGACTGACCCTTCAGCGACCCACCCGCCCGACACGCCCGTCTGGGCCCGCCCGCCAGTCCCGCCCGTTTGGGCCCGCCCGCCTGACCCGCCCGTCTGGATCTCCCGCTTGGTGTCCTGCTCCTGACCCTTTTCTTGCTACTCTCTCTACGTGCTTTATCCTTCTCCCTGCCCCCGGCCCCTTTGCCTGCTCCCTCCCTTCCCGCACTCCTGCCTCTCCTCTTCGCTCCGTGTGTCTCCCTGTTTCCCTCCTCTTTCCCATTTCTGGGGGCTGCGCCAACTACACATAGCAGGTAAGGAAGATATGCCCCCACGGGGGACTCGATCGAAGCCGAAGAGGGCGGCTATCGAGAGCTTGGGATCTACATGCTGGTTGCCAGGCGCGCAGACAAGAGCGAATAGTCTTAACGTGACCCCCGTATACCCTCACGGGGGTCTCGATCGAAGGCGAAGAGGGCGGGTATCGAGGGCTTGGGATCTACAGGCTGGCTGACAGGCGTGCAGACAAGGGCACATAGGCTTAACATCATTGTTGTTGCTGTTGGTGTTGTTGTTGGTGTTGTTGCTGCTGCTACTGCTGCTACTGTTGTTGTGGTTATTGTTGTTGTTGCTGTTTGTGGTGGTGGTGGTGTTGCTGCTGTTATTGCTGTTCTCGCCCGACGTCATGATTTTCGCATGAGGTCTCGACCCGTTCCCCGGGACAGTTTCTCATCCTGAGTCGTTGTTGTCGACGGCCCCGAGGCCAGGTGCGGGCCCCCTGGAGGCTGAA